AAAAAAAAAAGCTGCGATCGTCTTGTCGATCGCGATTAACTTGTTGCCCAGGTCTACTTCAGAGAGATTGCTCTACGAAGGAACAGCTTCGTCAGCATCTGCTTGCTTATGCTAGTAGCATTACTGCAGGTTGTGTTCATGTATGCAATTAATGCGTTCGTTTGCAGTTGGCTCGGTCGTAAATTACTTCGACAAACGACTATCTCGACATGAAATTGATTTGTTTCTAGATCTGTCAGACTGATCTCTTAAGAGCAACTTCTCTCTGCATACGGTACGATATTCAGTATGAAAACAAACGAAGTACTGTTTCTTTCTTATTAGCGAAAATTATTGTTGATACGGCATTGAACTTTATTGACACATGATTTAAAATTTAGGAAGAAGAACAGGCTTTTACAAGATTTTTCAGATTATTATTAAGATTTGAAACATAATTAGGGTTCTCTATTTTTTTTAAAAAAAAATAAGCATGGCATTACTTTTAAAACATTTCATGCATTACGTTAAAATTACTTTTAAAAGTATTTTAAGGCTCCTTTCCGACCACGTTCTAACGAATAGCCTTCGCCGCCACCTCTCGTCTTCGGCGTCGTCCACGTCGAACACGTACTTTCCACGAGCATCGGCACTTAATTGTATCGATGCACGATTTAAAATATAGGAAGATAGTACACATTCAGAAAAAAAATCGTCTGAAAAATTTTCATAAATATTAAGCGTACTTGCAGTTGAAAAATACTTCCAATTTTTAATTTGCATCGAATCATTTTTAAAACATTTCATACGTTGCGTTACAATCATTTAAAAAAAAAAGATTTTACAGAGGTAATTAATTTCCTTTCAATACCTATTCTGAAATTTGAGGGTCGATACATGGATATTTTTGATAGGTACCTACAGCAAGGATCCCTAATCAGCAGTCTCGCACGAAAGAGTGTGGATGTTTCACGTGTGTGAGAAGAATCGGAACATTCTCGTCACGCACGCCGAGGCGCTGGCCAAGCGAGTTGGACGAGCGCCGGCCAGGGAGGAGGATCCGCCCTTTGGCGACCCCTGCCAAGTTACATGACGTCCCTGACTGGCCTCATCGCGCACCCGGAAGCAAGCGGCCGTCTTGCCCACCAGTGAGTACATCGAGGGCGGAGAGCGACCACACGTCAACAAAATGATTTCAGCCCCCGAAAATTTGGAGGAAGAACAGAAAGGAAATTCGATCCAGGGTCAAATTAAACAATCGAGACAATCTCAAGGGACCACTAAAAAAGTCGTTCTCCCGTAGAGAGGACTCCCGTGACTGTGACAAAAGCGAACAAGGGGTGGAGGCTGATGAAAAACGAATGTTCCCATTACCTACACCTCTGCACACTGTTTGTATCTCCAACTTTTTGTACTTTTTGCACACTGTTTGTATCGGTTTTTGACATAAAATGACCTAAAACTATTTCTGTAAGTTACGAATTGAAGGTATTCTTGAGTTACTTAAAATAATTTGTTCAGGTCTGGGTAAATATTCATTTCAATTACAGTTTCAGAAGTATATTTCACATTGTGTTTATAAGAGAAGTGATTGTATTGCTCCAGAATTTGTAAACCACCTCCATCTCATTAGTTTGGGAGAATAAGAACTAATGAAACTTTTTTTCGATTTTCCGTACAGAGAATATAAAGTACAGTTTGGTTGTAACTTATCTACAGTTCTTCCTTTTCTGCGATATAGTCGAGGGGTTCAACCAGTTATTTATAAAAGTAATATTATTTAAATATATTAAAATTAATTTGGAAAAAATGTAAAGTTTAAGTCGTTAGAAGTATGTTAAAATTTACATAATTTCGATCAGAAAATGAATAGTAGTTGGACTAAAATATTCAATATCAAAGAAATGTATAAATGAATTATTATCATAAATTCAATTTAAAGAACATTTATCTAAAAAAATGTCTTTCACCCTAAATATTTTCTGAAACCTTCAACTCAGGGTGGAAAAGTAGGTCTTAAATGGTCAATTCACATCATCAAGATAATCAAAAAATTAAGAGTGAATAAGGATAATCGTTTTCAGGGCGATCAATATTTTCTACGTAAATTAAATATCTTTAATTTTTAACAGGATTAATTACGTTCACAATATCGGTATTTTTATCCCCTTCAACATGATATTTCTAAAACGCTGGTTTAGCATTGAAACAATATTAAGAATTAAGACAATGCTATATTTTAACACAGAGCAGGAAATTGATTTTCATCTAATAGATATATTAACATACATGAAAGGTGTATTTAAGTAATACTTTTGTCCCACTGCTGTGACGAGAGGAACCATAGCGGCGATATTGCGTAAACACAGGTGAAACGCGCGGGAGTGTGGTTCGTTCCGCTCGAGATGCGCTCTCGATGAACGAATCGAAGCGGCTGCGGAGTCAGTCTGCGACGCCCATTTGCCTGCTCTCCTTCCCGCCCGCGGAGAAACGGAAGCTGTTGCCGCTGCAGCCGCCGCACGCGAGCTTCGTCTCGTCGGTCGTGAGAAAGAGTCGACGAGGTAAACACGCTACGCTACTGTGCCGAGGCGTTCCACAAGGCTTCCGCTGCACTGCGAGAGAGGGCGGGTTTTTTCTTATTCCCCTGATAAGAAACAAATTTACTAAGCTATTTGTAGGTTGATAGCTTCACTTTAGACTTCAAATATCTAGAGCAAATATCTTCGTACAAAACAAAATTCGTTATATTTTTAATTAAATTAGAAAACAAAACACCCAACTGTCCTCATTATTCGTGATGTTTTCGCCCGTGATTTAAATCTTGTTATCTTCAGATGTTTCTTATTTCCAATATTCCATTTCCACTAAGTGAACAAAGAGATAAATTGTCAAAACAATACAGAAATCACATCAACTTGCTCAAACGTTTTGATGAGAATTCATCACTGAGACGTAAACTAATTAACCCCTTGCAATATATACCGAAAAATATAATGTTAATTGGATTTACTTGTGCAATACTGTGCTCAAACGCCGCGTCAAATTATTCTCATAACACACAATAACAACAACCATTCAGCATACGTCTTACGCTAAGAGTGTTCATAAACTGGAGGAACTGAATCAGTTAAATTCAGTCAATGAAATTTAATCAAAGTTTCATTACATTGGAGAAACGAAGAAAATTATTTTTACGTTCAAACGTAAAATCATATCTTGGCGAGAAATTACTGGCTTAAAGAACCACACTATTCGTTCTTCTTTCATTCCTCAAACGTGTACACGCTAAAATATATACTTGTTGATGTGAATGCACACCTATGCATTTCTTACAAACATACACATGAGGATATTTATATTGTTTCTTGTTTTCCCTAAAAGCTAAATTCTCACTTTCTGATCAGATGACGAGCCTCTTGTTCTACGTAGCGAATGATGCTATGAGTAATTAGTATTTTGCACGTCATTAGCCAAAATATCGTCAAGAACTTTACTTGGAGGACATAAGCTCTTCGATCAGCTAACTGGCACATTTAATTAATAAAACCTGTTGGCTATTTCAGTTGAGATGCACCTTATTTAATGGTAATATTAACTTATTCTAGAAATACTTTTTTACCCCTTCTTCGACAAATATTTTTACAATTTACTCGTGCAAGTAATGACTAAATGGTCCATGCATTTTATATCACGTAACCATTAGAGTATTTACAAACTCAATGAAAAGAAGATTATTCATGAAAAATAATATAAATAAAAATTCGGCACCCGTTGCACACTGCTTACGCGAGTAAGAACGGACGACGGAAATATATTTTTGAATCATTCTCGTATTCTAGAAAAACGCAATAGGCCAATACAATAAGTACACACAAAATGACTAAATTGACAATGTTTCAACTATTAGGACGGGTAAGAAGTCGTTGTTTGTCCTTTATGAAACCCGACAACCTCTAGAAGCTCTGTTGCGTTGATGCTTTCCTTTGCTTTCGCCATTTTCTACAGGTGTTTCTGTTGCGCACCAGAGAAAGGGCTGTTTGTCTTCGCCTTCTTCGCTGGCTGTGGGAAGGAAGGCTCCGCGCGCACCGTACTTCCCGGACGTTGAGAATCTCTTCGCACAAAGCTAACGAACGTCGCATCATTATTCGCCCCGTTCCCAACACACGCTACAAGCACAAAGCAAGAAGACCACTGGCAAACTTGCTACCTTCGATAGGTTGGTTGTCCAGCGCAAATTATACAAATAATGGAGCTTCTTCTCACTGCTCCCGACAAGTGCATTCCAGAGGGAGCGATTAATACGTTCGCAACAAAGCTATCAAATAGCCCGCTGGTACAGGAGAACCAAGAAGTCCTGCAATCTTTCAGGCCTTACTAAGATTACTTTATTTAGAGTACGCTTGTCACATAATTATGGTTCATAATTATCCTAAGCAATAAGTTGTATTTCTTTCAGCTGTAAGCAAATAAGTTGCATTTCTTTCTAATTGCCTTAGGAAGCTTGATAACGGCATTTCACTTTTAACTAATTTTACAATGAATAACCTGAACGCCTCTTGTGAGACTTTTGTGAGAAAAATATGGAGGGAAGCGCTAAGTCCGGAGGTTGTAAACTTAACCAACTTTGTGCAACTCATTTGAAAAAATAATTATGCCAGTGTAACAGTATTAATAGCGAATAAATCCAAATGTTATTATCATCCCAAAACCCATAACAATTAGTATCAAAATGAACGTATGTATGTGTGCTTACTTCTCAAAATGGATTAATATTTTATTTTCACTAAAGGCAGATTCCTTTTCCAGTCGAACACACTGATGGAACTTTTCATGAAGGTAGAGCCTCAACTATATGGAATTTTTTTTGTAAAAATAAGGGAAGAACTTTCTTGGCAACATTGTTATTTTTCTTTGCTGTTAACTCCCATTGCACGATTTCCTCATACCAAAAACAGAATACCTATGTGTACCGCCATTTATACTGTTTGTAGCTTCAACTCTCAAAGTTGGCATTCGCAGAAAAGCAAAGATCATTTAAAGCGAATGATAAAATCTGGGCATATATAAATCCGTTGGTCGACTTTATTTTCATTACGGAGTACTACATAAAAGTTTCTACTGAATTCTCTATTAACGGACTTGAAGGAAAATAAAAGCGAAACCTAATGAACAACTTGAGTATTCCTTTACCGAAGTGACACCAGCCACACTAAACCCTGCATTGGATCACAAAGTAAATATTGCAGGAGGATGTCGCCTTACCTTGGGTCTCTTCCAGACGAACTGGAAGGGCGGCGTCTGGTGGTAGAAGACGGACGCCTGCGTGGCGGGGAACTCGGGGTCTTCCCAGAGCTCGCCCCGCTTCAGGCAGGAGCGCTTGATGAGCTCGTAGTCGGTCATCGGTCCGCCTGCAACACGACGCTCATCATTCACCGTTTGCATTTATTCACTTATCTATTCATTTATCGCCGAAAGCAATAGAAACTGAATTGCCAGCCCGGATAGCCAAAGTCGCTAAGGGGCCATCCGTAAATTACGTGAGGCCTTCAGGTGCGGAGGGGGTCAAGGCGAATCCCGCCTAATGTATGCAAGGGAGAGGGGGTCTCGGCAAATATCACATTTTTTTTTCGCTAAAAACAGTGCTAAATTACGAGAAAACGGAAACAACGTAAGTAAAACACGTTTCTTCACTACTGAAATGAGGCTAAATCTTCCACAATAATTTTATAGCGGTTTTGAGAATGCTACAATATGTGCAACAGTACACTAAAAAAAAAGAATAATCTTAAATAAATTTAATTAATAAAATTATTTTTTAAATAAATCTTAATGCAATCAATCACAAATTAACGTATTTACATTAAAAATACGTTTTGAACAATCTCATGTGTGATTAGAAGGGGGAGGGGTGGTGCCAAATATCACACTCACCAAGGGGGGATGGGGGAGTCGAAAAATCGCCAAAATCACCTCACGTAATTTAGGGACGGCTCCTACGGCAGAAGAGTCGTAGATTCCTCGTTCTTGAAGGGGCGCAGGTTCGTTTCCCGCCCCGGGCATGGATGTTTGTGTGAGTCTACATGTTTGAAATTGTCCATTCATCCTTCATCATTATTATCATTATCATTTCATACCTCATCCCCCCAGGGCTAACAATCTTGGGATGTAAAAATGGATCCATCATAGAAATGCTTATCCCCCCCCCCCAAAGAAAAGACACAAAACCCCGAGAAAATATGACTGAACGTCGGTGGATACAGTTGCATGGTCCTAAGATGACCGATTCGCGACCAAAAATCTGTACTACGTATAGCAGAGAAAAATAATCTGTGCACGTTTTCTTGGGTGCTTTCCACTCTTTTTTATTCACTTCATAGTTGATTTATGAATAAAAGGTACTAGCAAGCGTGGTTGGCATCATTAGGACAAAATTGCTCCCGAATAATATAAAACGTATTTTCACCCGCAAACCAATTACAGATTTCATTTTACAGCATTGCTAACAAAATAACAACACACATCCTTGGCACAAATAGCAAAGAAGAGATCAAAAACTCCGTGCGGATAGTGAATCTACATTCGCTTCAAGAAGTAAAACGAGAGGCTGTTTCAATATTGGCTCAAAGTATCAACAGTAAGTGTACAAAAATAACTGATCGAGACGGGTTATTAAATGACACAGAGCCTAGCCTTCTCCGTATCTTCCAAAATAGCTCGGCAATTAGCGAGTTGCTTTACATCAGCATTGTTTGCGAGTATCTGCATGTTCGAAATAATCATAAGTGTACCATGAATGCTTTGGAAATTGTCGATAAACTCCCGACTCGCGATGCAAGGAGGGGATTTATCTGAGAATTTCCAAAGCACGAGAGGTATTTAATAGGGCTATTTCACGAGTAAAATTATGTCCAACAGAGTTCCAAAGTGCGCCAAATATCGAAAATAACTGAAAGCTATGTTAAAATCAAGGAGGTTATTTTATAGTACATACGCTGTTTATTGAACATTGACATAGCGATTGATGTATACCGCCTCCTAAGATAGATGAGTCACAGTTTACGATTGACCAGAAGGGAGATGCGGTAGGAAAAATCGGATAGAAAACAGCGATAAACTTTTTGAGTTATCCGCCCTGATTGGAGCATTTTGTACGTATAGTTAAACACTACTGGTCTTAATTTCACGAGTGAAACAGTCGGTTTAATTCGCTGGCATAACAATCTAAATTCTGTAAGCGCCTGAGGCGGCTGTGGTCTCCTCACTAGACTTGTGGATCCACAACTCGCGTAGGCAAAGTTGTTTTCCGCTTGGGATAACGACGCGGAACGGCAGAACGAACCACCGAACGTTTCTAGTACCCCTTGAACTCTAACGCTTCGCTAAAGATATGACGAGACAAGTAGAAGGACTGAAGAGAAGCAGGAGAGAAAGCAGAAGATGAACGGAAAAGAAAGAAATAAAGGGTGAGAAATTCCTTATAACAGGAATGACAAGACATTATTTTCGAAATTTCATTATAACAAAAAATACTCTTGTTCAAATTATTTATAAAACAATAGTCAAGAGTGCTGATAAAAATAGAATAAAGTGCACTTACTTAGTCTAGCAAAATAAATCCTTAATAGTTACCGCGACCTATTGAGAAGGTTCCCAGAAATTAAAGATCTGTAATTTTGTCTGGTTGGGTGTGCGTGGGCGTAAGATCAGAATTCGGGTGGCTACATACTGAAGGGACAATAACATTCAAAGCAAATAACTGTACCGTGTCCTATATCCTCATGGTTATAAGCATTAGCAAAAGATAATTTGTGCTTTTGTTGCTCGACAATGTTTTTCTTGTCGCAACACAACCTACAATCTCAGCGAATGTTCCGTATTCTGAAAGTACCTAGTCTTCTAACTTAATATAAAGCAAAACAACAACAACAACAACAACAAACAAATAACAACGTTGTATTATAAGTACCAGTCAGTATGTTAAAGTTTGTTCACCATATAAAGAGCTATTGATTTAACAGTTCCATGCACGCTTTAATACAAAAATCGTAATTTATCTTCGATATTCTAAAACGCAATACTAAAAGCAATAAATCATACTATACTATGCTCTACAATATGATGGTTGGAACTACGTCTTTTGAATACAAACTAACCTTGAACTTAACAAAGGGTGCCTAAAATATACATCAAATTATTATTTTCGATTTCGAGCAGTATTTTGGTTTTGTAAACATACAATGCAATTCCTAAATGACTTATTTTAAATAATTTTAAGCAAGAATTGCTTTAAAAAAAAGTATTTGACGCGGCGATGAAATCCAAGAAACTTCCTAGTGCATAACACAAATTAGCAAGAATGATTTGCAGTTAGTTGGTGAACCGGGAAATGTACCCGAAGGGCAGAAAGCAAACACTGGCTTTAAGAGGAAGGTCGTTCACAGAGCTTACGAATCACGGCGCCCGTTCGGACCTTGGAAGCTCCGTTGATTCGCTGGTGCGGCGCACTCCAGCTTAAACAAGCGAGCAGGGCTCGGAAGAAAAGAAACAAGCGGAAGGAGAAGTACACGCGAACATTAATCAGTACTCAGTTTGGTCGCCACCTGTCTGATTATTCTAGTGCGCCCAATGGAGCCAATTAACCTTACGTTAATGTATTTATTGCACTCTTAAATAAACGCGATTACGAAATCATGATCCCTTCGATTCAAAATGTTTGTTATTTCAATTGACGTTTGAAATACAATTGATGTATTTCATTTTAGTGAACAATATATTTGCTTTAGTAAAGTAAATGGGAAATTAATATGTATTTTGAAATTGTGGCTGTCAGCGGACGTCTCTAAAAGAACGCCTTGGGTCAGGTATCCAGTGAGGCATGGCCATCCCAGAGCATTCCGAATAACTTAGACAACCTAGCACCTAGGAATCTGGTGCTTCTTTATTACGTTTCGTAAACACTTTTTAAATTGTCTTGTCAATTCTAAATTTCGTCTTCACCATCATGCTCGAGTGTCGATTCCCTTTTCCGAAAAACTAGCAGTAAGGAACCTTGTTCTATCAGTTTATATTTCGTACCCTTGTAGATTTCCTTTCGAATCTTCACCTCGACTTTTTCTGAAAAACGGATTCCCGAATTCCGCGCAACTGGGAGACATCATTCTTGCTTCCTAACGTTACACAAATACTCTAACTTCTTCTGCACTCGGATTTCAGGCACCTAATTCTCACAATCTTCCACCAGCGTTCCACCCTTTCACATCCTTATGTCGGCTTTCGCACGTCACAGAATTCCGGGCACCGGAGTTTCTTGTTTTCCTACATTTAACAAATATTCCATTTCAAATGTGACATTTACTTTTCGATTCCCTAAACTGGGCATCTAGTTATCCGATCCCCATTATTTAACGTTTCTCAAAATTCCTCTATTTGAAACGCAACTTCTCTGTTCCTATCCCTCTCATCGATCTTCGCGCTCCAGGGTCGGATTCGCTCACATGCGTGTTCTGTGCATTGGGAACCTGGTTGTTATTTCAGTTGGAAATCTTACTCTACACACCGATTCCAGAAATCTGGGCCTCTTGATATCTAACCTGCATTATCTTCCGTTTCAATGCCAATCCACCGCCATAATTCTGTTGTCCAATCCTTCTGCTATTCGCGCACATTCCGTATTCTGGGCAGCGCGGCGCGGCGCGGCGTGCCGGAAACTAGTGGCGTGGTGGGGGACGGGGGGGGAGGGGGAGAGGATGTTGTCCCGTTGGTGCGGGCACGAGGACCGGTGGTCGCACGTATCCCGAATTGCGGCAACTACTTCGTATTTTCTTATGATTTCAACGACTTCTCGATTTGAAAAGCTTCACCTTTCCCACGTTATCTCTGCGCTGGAGAGTTAGGTTTCAAAAATACTTCCTTACAAATCAAATGCCGAATGCTTCCTTACAATTCAAAAATTCCTATACAAATCTTATGTATGTAGCCAGTGGGGCAACCGGGATTTTTCTTGTAAGCAGAATTTAATATTTATTTTTTTGTTGATTAATAGATATATGAATTGAGATATTAAATGACTTTCATTACAAGAGAAAATTAATGAAATGTGCATTTGTGAATACGTGCAGTCGGATTCTGCAGAGACGGAACAGAAGTCCCCTCCCCCACCATGGGTGTGTTACTGCTAATCCTTATTGTGTTGAGATTATAATCTAGCACTTTGAGCTGACGAGTATCCAATTTCTGGGGTGGGGAATCGCCCAACTCATCCCGACCCCCGCTTCCACCTAATCCCCTTTCACTTTTCGCTACCTGGAAAGGCGCTCCCCTGCTGCGTCCCGTTTCCATCATCCGGCGCTTCGGAAGGAGTAAACATTTCCATTCAGAAGTGTTGCAAATACATATTCACTAGCCCCAATGGGGAGTCGGGCAATGTCTTTCTGGAGAGGTGGGTAACCGGCTTAGGAAAAGTGCTCGGCACACGCCCTTCGGGTCGTCCTTGGCGGTCGAGCGTCGACGCCCGTCGTACTCCGGGCTGAGCGGTGCGGTGCGGCGCGGCGCGGCGCGGCGGGCCGGAAGCGCTGGGGCGCGGGAGGGGGGGGAGAGATTTCGCGTGGCGGCATTTCGTCCCGTTGGCGCGGGCGCGCGCGTAGAGGCGGCGGCGGCGGCGGCTAACTGTACCGCGGTTGCGCACGCTGCCGCCGCGCCGGCGCAGTAGGACGCACGGCGCCCGCCCGCTGCCAGCCGGGTCAGCGCCGCCCGCGGTGCGCAATGCAATGCGGGGAGGTCACGGATTAATGCTAAATAATGCACATATTCGATATCTTGCATATTATTTTTGTGGTGTATAAATGATAAACAATATTACTTTTTCAATAATTACATAATTCTAACATTAATATTCAATTAATATACATATGCACATTATTATTATTATTATTATTATTATTATTATTATTATTATTATTATTATATTATTCAAAAGATATGTACGAATAAAAGACGTGACACCCATTGGAGTTTGGAATGCAGGAAAATGACATCATAACCCTCATTGCTAAATACGTTTTCTTGTACAAAGGCATGCACCCACTAAATTGAGCAATAATATAAACCCCAGAGTATTTTTCTATTTCATGTCATAAAATTATTCCATTCCCTGTTTAACAATATTTTTAAAAAAATTAACTCTTCCAGTCAATCTGAAATACAACGTGTAATCATCGCACATTTTGAAAGAATAGAATTACGAAGTGTTTTCTACATATGATCTGTCATTTTCCGTGGGTCTGCCATCAACACCAACAGAATGCCGGAGCAGTATCCTAACAAACAGGCCACAGATCGGGCACAAGCTTTTCTTGCTCTTTGTTGCCATGTCCTCTCCTCTTTCTCACACACACACACACTGGGTGACCAGTCGGGAGGCTAGAACGTGTGTACCCCGCTGGCAGGAAGTACCTCGGAAGGGAATCCCATTAAAGCCGACTTGTAGGTCGACACCGGATCTCGCCATTCAGGAGGAAAGGACTTACCTCCACCTGCTCATTCACTACACTAACGTCCACAGCAGCTGACCAGAAACACCAGTAAATCAATCAACAAATAAAAACACTCTCCCGCTGTTCTATACGCAAATATATACGTTTATTTGTTTCTGTGCACATCTTACGAAGGTTCTTTCCGAGATGAACTTCCACTATTCCCACCGATATAAACTACATTATTTGAGGCAATAATTTATTTACTTGCGTATTGGTACCTTATAACTAATGAAGGAATGTCATTCAGCTCAAACATTACATTTGCACGAAAACACGTTGAATCTGGACCTATGTATTATTTGTAATAATGTATGTACAGAACCTGAATGATTACAGGTAACAAATTAGCATAAGTGCGTTTCTTACACACATACTTCTAGTTTTGTGCGGAAATTATTCTCATTAATATTATGAATCTTATCTGGATTGTTGTCACTGAAATGTCAATTGGTGCGAGTAATCATACGAAGTTTCAGAAACCGTAAATGTTCAAATGAATACATTACACTACAATCTAGAAAGACCGAAATAAAAAGGTGTTCTTGCTTCACACTAAAATAATTTGGGCATTTTATTTTGATACTTGAGAAGAAAAATGCAGTGTGTAAAGTATAAATCGTACTCCAAGGTTACACGTCTAGTCCATGTAGATAATTACAGATAATCTCGTTCCAAATACAGGGCAGAGGAACTGTTAATGACTAATTTTGTGCTTTTAAATAATCGTGTAAATTGTGAATTTGATATTGCAATGACTTGTAAAGCCCAAATGTTACCAAACCAACATTGCAATATCAAACAAAAATCTCAAATTCAGTCGGACCTCATAAGAAATTTTGTAAAACTGAAATTGGAAAAACCTTTGTCAGCATTGACACACAATGCTCAAATTTAACGTAAATTGTCTTTGCAGTTTGCAGTGGCGGTTGAGGGCAGTCCGCGTCGGGAGACAATTGTCCGGGGTGACACCATCAGACATTTTAAATTTAAAATTATGTTTGAACGTGTTGATTTAAGATTGGGTTTGTCAATTTTCATGATATCTTTATGATTCAGTTATTTAATACAATATTTTTCTTGAAGTTATAAAGATAAAATGTGCGGGATCTTTAATTGAAATATATACGTTATTAATTGTATTAATATTAAATTTCCTCAATATTCAACATTCCCTGTAATCTGTATTTTAAATAACAAATTTTTATGTTGAATTGGGTGGGAGGTTGACAACTATTCTATTGTTCTAAGTGTCATAATTTCCAACTAGGCTACTGGTTCTTTGCATATCATTTTATTAATTATTCTAACTGGCTAGCTGCTAGGAGTGTTTTTCGGATATTTATAGCTCTCTTTATACTTGTTCTTTAATAATGATAAGAGCTAAATTATATAGAAGTCAACAGAGCTTGAGACGAGGCGACGATGGAAAAAAAAACAAAACAATTTGGGGCCCTCACTCAAACTGACAGTTCTAGGAGGGACACGCGTTCTAGTAAAGAATTGCGCGCCATAGACTACGCGTACGCCACGGAACTATTATACCAAATCTGTGGTGGGTTTTACGATTCAAAATAATTTATATTACGAGTACATGGGAGCGAACATTTCTTGTTATATTTTGACAACAACGCTCATTAACAAAGGAGTGAGGGTCGGCGTCAGGGGCTCGAGAAAACGAGCGCCTTTAAATAAATTAGTGATTTAAGGAACACGGACGAACTTTAAAATACAGCAATAGAGTTTGCTGCTCAGTTCTATTTTAACAGTATTAATTAGTAATAGAATTATAAATTATTCCTTTACAAATGGAAAATATCTCCCCATAATCACGTTACTTTAAATGTCATTCCCAACATACTGTCAATATCTAAAACATTTTCCCAGACTCGGTAAGGGAAAGATCTTATTCTAACATTGTTTAGCTTTACTTACCGTGTTAACAAAAGACTGTAATAAAATAATATGAAAAATAGTCACTATGTTCGAACCGCTGGACACGTGTAGAACAGCAGTAGTACAGCAACACACTACATGTGCTGTCAAAAAATTAAAACGACCGACACAAACGCCACTAAACAACTTCGTATCACATCACTGAAAACATCACTGTAACACACGTTCACTGTTGCATTGGCTACGATAGCACTTCGTAAGAATCGCGTGGTCTTCAACCAGCTACCGAGCGACGCGAAATACCTCCGTCGACTGACTGGAACTCAGCGCCCGAGTTCTCACCTGCGTCCCCCTCTTCTTGAAATCTCCTGCTCGCAACCTGAACTCTCTCGGCCGGCAGGTGAAAATGATTCGAGACTGCTACGGACATCTACCGGCCAGGCATAGAACTACATTGTGATGTATAATGCACCCTGGCCGCTGTCAGAAGCAGAATCCGAGCCGGCTGTTCTGATCCAGTGGGTTTCCATGGTTACTCCGATCAGTAGCGGATTCGGGGGCATGGGGGGATGGGGGGGGGATAGGNGGGGGGGATAGGGGGCAGGGGGGTCATGGTCCCACTCAAAAGAGCTAGTTAACCTTCCTTTATTTGACAAACTTGATTTAAATATTTATGTTATAATTACCTAATTATTTAAAAGCAGTGGTGCTTATTATTTATTACATATATTATTTAAAACTGCACGTAATTGTACGCCGTTAGTAATGGTATTTATACCACAATTTCTCTTAAATTCTATTTTGTAGAACTCATTTGAAATCGTAGAACATTAGACGCAAAAAATAAGCTGTAAGCGAGAAAGTAAAATAAATAAAGTAAAGAATATAATATTGTAATATTCTACATTTGTATAATATTACAATATTCTATTTTGTACTTTATTATTAAAGTATTCGTTTTTATTGCCGCGAATGAAAAGCAGCCTTCATTACTGTCCTCTGTGATCTGTGCGGCGTTACAACAATGGATAACAATCAACAATGACCGCTCATCTATTCGTTTTCACAATTAACACAATTCAAGGTCGCAATTTACAATGAAACATACAATAATATAAATATAATAATATAATGAAATATACAAAGGAAATATGAAATAATATACACATTTTAACTTACGTAGCATCTAACGGCCTCAAAACACCTCTAAAATTAAAATCATGAAGCGAGTATTTTCAGGGCGTGCGACTAATTTTTATGGCCAATCACACCAAAAAATACTTCTAGAGTTTTTCTGCCGAAAATTCGCCGTATTTTCGCGCAGCATTACATAACTTTCTCCTCTTAAACGTTCCTTCTTAAGTGCGAGAAAGTAAAATAATATTGTATAGAACATATACACACTATAAAAATAATAACAAATATGTTAATTATTTAACAAAAATCTATGAGCGGCTTGATGTGCCCCCGATTCCGATCGACACCCGGCATATTTCCTTCGGCAACCTTATTTCGTAACTTACACACACACATATACGTCGGGTACCTATACTTCAATTTAAACAAAATGTTGACGCGATCAGCTGTTACGGTGTCATCCAAGCTCCCGATTGGATGACACCGTAACAGCAGTTGATTTGTCAAAGGACACCGTACATAAATCGAAGTATATAAGAGGAAATCTCTACAAACGAACAAGTAGGCCACCTAATTTACACCTGCGTAAAATTTGCATTTTTAATTATAAATAAATATAATTATTTTTTATTATGTTGCAACGCGTACTTAGCATTTACTTTAAAATAAACAGAAAAATGTTTTAATTAGGAACCCTCCTTTTTGAAATTGAGTCACGTAGTACTTTCAATTTCTTAATTATTCCTCTCATGTTGAAAATATACTCCTAAAACTTTTATAAGTGCAGGAGCGCCCAAAAGGGGGAGGGGGCAGTTAGGGCAACTTATCCCAGGCCCCGAATATTTTTTATTCAAAAGAAATGAAAAATATATTTATCTCTCATCTAAATTTAATGTTGTAAGCTATTTGATTCACAAAGAAATTAATTCTATTTTTGAATTGGCGGGGGTGGGAATTTTTGGTTTTAAATAAGGGGCCCCAGTGGATTAACTGTCTCAGTCCCCTGATGCGTGCACGTGTGACTGCATGCCATATTTCCATGTTCATTTCATGAAGAGGTTGAAATCCGATGTGCCCTGAATAATGATAGAGATCTCAAAAGTAAATAATTTGTTATAGCTTGCTCATTGTTTTTCACACATAAGTTTAACATAATTAAGGAAAATAATTTTTTCACTTGTCTTGCAATTGTTGGAAAGTTGTATTTGAATGAATTTGCCTACCATACTTGAGGTTGCGAAATACTCGCAGAATAAGTTGGGAGAGCAATTAGTAGAAGCTGCAACGAAACATCGCCTCTTCTATCAGTAGTTTTTATCAGACAAGAGTGTTCTGGAAAAGAAACGACACAATTGACAAGGATTGTCACTTGGAGATAGAATTAACGAGTATTGAAGAGAGTGTCAGTTACCTCTGTCCAAACGAAATCAAACGTTTCTTTACGAATTTCGTCATTTTTACTTCATGTTACGACTGCATTCAAGTGCCTGGCACACCCTGAATCGAAACATGAAGGCGTCCAACACGTTTTTACTAAGCTTTCTGCTCTTCGTCTCGGGTAACAATGCTAGCTTGTGGCTTTAGACGAGCAATTTGGGCATTCTCAGAATTCTGACAATGTTACACATGGTTCGAACGAGGAGCTGCCCAGGAGCTGATGCGATATTTCGGACCGAACTAACAGGAAGCAGTTGACAATCTACGTCAAGGAACATTGTACGAAAGAAGTGAGTATTTGGTCAACAGGGAAAAAATTCGCACGGCTTTTTTAAGTAAAATTAGGCTATCTCCAGAGCGACATGTTTGACAAGTATGATCCTTTCCTTTGAAACGCCTTCAAAGAATATCAAAAGTGCCCTATTAAAAAACAAGGCGCCAAATTTGAAGTAATTTGGCGGTCAATGCCAACAAAACACATTTGCAATACAATAAATTATTATTATTCTGCTGTAGCTACTATTAATGAATCAATACAGAAAATGAGTGCTATTCGGAAGTGATAGTAATTCACAGTCCTGTATTGTGAAAACGACTTTTGCATGCAAATATTTAACTCCAATGCCCTGCACGAAAACCCAAAATAAGAAAACTAAATCGTGAATTACCATAGGTGTGTAATTAAAGTGTCATGTGAAAGAAAACGCAACATGTATAAAATACTAACAAATAACAAATGTAACTCAAACTTCATTTCATATTACAAAACATATAATTTGATCCTAATAAAAGTAATCAATCAAGCAAAAATTATGACAAATGATAAGTTCATTGCATATGCACATAATAAAACACAAGCTATGTGGGAGATTATTTAAAAGACTACAGCACCAACTAATAATAACAGAAAAAATATAGAGCTCCACTCCAAAAACCAAACTGTACAAGACCCACAAGATAACTGATATATTCAATGAACACTTTTCACAAATTAGTAATAAATTAATCTTGCAACACTCTCTAAACAATAAAACATACCAACCAAACACTAATGTTACACAAATTGTAAATTCCATTTTTTATATGAAACCACTCCTCTGAAATTTTTAAAATCATTGGACAAAAGGAGAATAAATTCTCAGTAGGCATGGACAGCATTCCAGATTTTCTTATTCTCCATGTATAGTGCAACCACTCTCTCACATCTGCAATTACTCTCTAAAATCAGACATATTCTCAGATATATTCAAAAGAGCAAAAATTAAACCAATGTTTAAAAAGGGCAATAGTTATGATCCAGTGAACTACAGACCTATCTCCCTGTTATCAGGATTTTCAAAATTTCTGAAAAGGCTTTTTAATGATACACTCAAACAATTTCTCAATGCAAATAATGTCCTTACAAATGCACAACATGGCTTCAGGAGTAATAGATCCACAGACACAGCTATCTTCTCCTTTTGAAATGACATACTTGTACTAAATCAGAAGGAAATTCCCATTGGCCTTTTCTTAGATTTGTCAAAGCCTTTGACATTATTGACCATCACATACTATTAAGAAAACTAAAAATGCTAGGGATTTGAAGCATTTCAGACCAATGGATCAAATCATATTTATCAAACCGTAGCCAAATAGTTGCCCTCTAGCACACTTAAGAAAACAAAATCTCCTCATTCTACTCCTGCCTTCAAATGATAAATTGTGGAGTCCTGCAAGGATCCATTTTTGGGCCAATATTATTCCTTATATACATAAATGGCATGCCTTTGGCTTTAAGGAATAATAAAATAATTTTGTTTGCAGATTACACAAACATAATCGTCAAAGCAAAAACACAATAATCATTAGAAAAAGAAACTCACAAATAATAATAATTCAAAACTTTGCAGGCACTAGTAAAATGGTTTCAAGACACCAAACTCATCAAAACCACCAGCCAGACAGTCTTTCTAAATTTCATGAATCCCCAATCTGAAGAAAAACTCTCACATTTGCTCATAAATAATAACCCTGTAACAATATCTCATAAAACTACCTTCCTCAGTCTAACAATTCAAGAAAACCTAAAATGGACAGCTCATATCTCAAATCTTAACAAGAAGCTCACCAAATCTTGCTATGCCATGTACACCCTCAGGTCAAGTTCCAACATTGAGACACCTCGAATAATGTATTTTGCAAAGATTCACTCACACCTGAAATATGGAATTAAATTCTGGGGAAATGCCCTTGAAAGCGCTCACACATTTATTATCCAAAAAAGAATATTGCGAACAATGACCAGCACTCATAAGCTGGAGTCTTGCAAACCCTTGTTCAATAAACTAAGAATTCTTCCTCTACCATATATGTATATATTTGAAATAGTGGTCTTCACAAAGGAAATTCTCATGGAAAACAAGACACTTTTACTTCAAATTCTGATGTATACAACTACAACACTCGCCTAAAGTTCCCCTCTCTGAAACTACATTTTATCAAAAAAGTACCCTAATGGCATTACACTTTACAACAAACTAGGCAATGCTATTAAAGACATAAACACAATTCATACATTTAAAAGTAAATTGAAAGCTTTTCTGCTTAACAACATGTTCTACGGTGTAAAGGAATATTAAATATATATTTCCCTTAAAAAATATAAATAAATAATAATAAATGAATAAGAATTTCTTATCCCATTTTACTTTCTGTTTCATGATAACTGTTTTGAGCTGAAGCAAAGATAAAAGAACTGGCATATCGCATCCTGTAACATAGAAGGAGAATACCTGTCAAAAACAAAAAACAATCCAGTTTCTCTCTGAATTCGAAGCTACACGCATTAGGTGCTGCAGTAGGACTACGTGTTCAAATTGAAAGACGAAAAAATGAAAAAAAAGTGGTCAAAACTTGCTTCCTCCTCACCATTTCAAATTTTAAATATAGAATGTATTAATATTATTGAATTTTATGTAGTTGGTAACAAAATTGATATGTTTTGTTTTAATATTACTATTATTATTATTATTATTAGTGAAATCTCTTTTATAGAAACATGAAACTTCTATTGAACTGGTTTTATGCATGCTGTGTACTATCAATATTTTACCAAAGCATTCTTTCTGTCTTCAGCTTGAATATTTCGTTTTTATAAACTACGAATATCACTGATTGGAACCTGTGTCTCACTAGGCTGTTATATAAGAATACGAATAAGACACTACTTGCATTCTATTAATTTTATTCAGTATTTGAAAACCTATCAAAATCACCATGAATAAGAAACAAACATACATATTTTAATGTATGAGTATGTTCATATTAATGGCAGTAGTTTTGTGTTTTATTATAGTTAGCTAATTTGTAAATGAATGTTTATCACGATGTATGAGTGATAGAAATCTATAGCTATTGGGTTACTTTTTGTGATTTTTTCAATTTTTAGGTCATTTTTTTTGCATTTTATTTCCTGCTCATGTTTTTTTGTTGGATAATATTTTATAAATTTACAATGACACACAAAAACAACATTTATCATCAATTCATAATGAAATTCACTACAGCAGTGGACTCTTCTTCAAACTCTCAAAATTACATGGATCTTTGGAAACTTTTTTTTTTGAATTGAATTGAATTTGCCTTATTTTATGTGGCGAGACTCGGGCCATCAGGCCCGCTCTTCCGTCTGACCACGCAAATTTCGCTACGCTCCTTTCACCAACTAGGAGAGAAAGGAGGTATTTCTTGGGCGAGAAACAGGCGATTTGAATTTGGTTTTTTTGACCTTTCAAAACTGATGGTTGGAAGATCGGAGCTAAAGATTACATTTCTTCCAAAAATAAAGACTTTATATTAAATATAATTTTATATAAATACATTTTATTTAAAATTCATTGAATAAATTAACATTTTTATACAAATTTTTGAAAAATCAGGTCTTTTTCCAATATTTGAAGTCTTTTAGGTCATTTTCAAAGAATTTTTAGGTCATCATAATCTGAGCCCTGGTAATTACTTTAGTATTTTTTTCTATTATTTTATCATCAATTTTACCAACATTTCAATGCAGACATATAGATGAATTGCTTTGAAGGCAATGGTGATGAGGAAGGTAAAAGACAACGTAATAATTTAAATAATAAAAGCTATAACTCACCAACAGCATGGATTGTTTTGTAATTCAAGAGAAACCTTCAGTGCAGTAATGAGTCACCCCCCAAAAACCACAATTCGAACTACACTATTACGTTACCTCAACCAGAAGCAGGGGCATAAGAAAAGCACAGGAAATAAAAAAGAAAATGAATTCATAAGATAAGAATAAATGTGGAGTTGGTATGCTTTTGTTCTGTATGTCTCTTATGTCATTTATTTATAATGAGAATGTATAAGGACAAACATCAAACCAGTTTGTTTCCTAGACCTGCATCTGATAAAATCTCTAAAGTATTTCAATGTTCAATATTACAAAAAGGCAGGTATGATTTAGCCTGTGAATGTATGAGAAACAATGCCATACAATTCAAGCTTATAAGAGGTACACAGGAAATTCATGTTGATTGCAGTTACTATTTCCCTTTTTATGAAAAGATGGTAGTTTACATATGAATCCTGGAACCATGTTGTGAATCTGTAATATTATTGAAATTACATAACATTTCCAAAAGTTTGATGTAATATAGATTTTCTAACACGTTTTAGAAAATGAAAAGTAAAATGTAGTGATCTATTTCTTCCAACAGAAGTGTTTCCATTATAATGAGAGAAAAATAAATAAAGGGTGCAATTTTATAATGAGTATAGACACATTATTAATAACTGAGAATTGATCTTTCTGCCAACTTGTTTGCATCTTCACAAACATAGTATATATGTATATGTGTGCGCAAATAGAAATATCTGTAATTCTTTTATTGTTTTACTACCTTTTCCAAGAGCACTTTAGTCTAAGATAATAGCCACATTGTTGAGGGTGACAATTTATCTTTAGAAAACTATTTATATTCCAATAAAGCAGCAGTAATGTAGTGAGTAAACTTTTCTTTTATAAGAAATATTTTCACCTTTCCTAGTCCAGTTCTGGACTTGGGAGGAATTCTGAAAATAGTGTTCAAGAATATGAAAAACGTTAAGTAGACTAAACTCTAGATTGATTTAATTTAACTTTGAAATGTAGGCTAATGAAATTGTAATGCTATTATTGCAATGCATTTCTAAAGAATCCTGCCATAAAACTAAATACCTTACACACCAGCAGACATGTTGTAGGACAGGGTACCCTTATCAATCCTTAGAACCCATAAACAAACTTTGGATGTAGAATAATGAATGCAGAATGTGTTTTTTAGTATAAGAAACCTCAAAAGATACAAATCTTGTCTAACCTGAGATTGAACCATAAACCTTGCCTTCACTTAAAAATAAAAGGGGATATGATGACATATTTGAACTTTTCTTCCTTTTAAGGTCACTAATTATTACTCTACAATTATTCTTTTTTAAAACCAAAGTGCACTATATCATTTAAATGTCTAAAACTGAGGGATGAACTGCCTTTAAAAAAGAAATATCTGGATATACCATTGAAGGAGTAGATCATGTTTAAAATTAAAGTTGAACTTCACAATTTTCAAAATTTCAAGTGTTTATGGAAATCGGAAATATTTTTTTTAATGCATTTTCTTCTATTACGAATTAAAGAAATGAACTGCAGCCATTTTCCAGATGTCACAGGGGCTTTAAGTACAGGCCCCTAAAAATTGAAATATCGTAATGATCTCTGGAATGGCGCGACTACAACACATCGTTCTCCAGACAGCTCAAAGGCTTAACAGCTTTCAAACGCCCGCGTTTTCGTCGCAAATGTTATGTCTGTGATCTGACGTACTACTCACGATGTTCCTGCTCTCTAGTGCCGCATTCCAGCAACAATATTCGGACATCGTACTTCCGTACGTAACATTGGAATAAAACGATCGCAATATCCTTCCAAAATCTTCGTTCAGTAAATTTTGATACCTTATATGTCAAACTTCGTTACAACACAGCTCTTTCAGCACAATACATCCGAAAACATTTATATTTTCATATTTTACCAACACAAATAACCTAAAATCTACACGTCTAATCATGCATTGCAATTTGGTTCATTGATGTACACGGTGATACAATATAAACCTTATTACAACTTTATGAAGGGTAACAGGAAATAAAAATAACTTTATGTAACCATAAACATAACCTGAATCCCAATTTATTTTTGAGCAAAAACACATGCCAAATCATGGGAAAATCAAAAGGCAATAGAATACATTATGTGGCATATACATGTTTTCAAAACACATATTGCTGTGAATTTATTGTACATAAATGTCCATTCAATATTAAATAATATTTCAAATCTAGAAAAGACATACAGAGTAATTATATTTACAATCTCTCTGAAATTATTTTCTTATGCTCATCAGAGTTTTTATGATCTATCACAGTATTAGAATCTGATGTCTGATTAAGTTGTACAGCAAAGGAAGACAAATCCCTTTTCATGGCATATGCATCTTCACCATCAGCATAGTATTTTGGTTCAATTTCAGAAATAGTGAATTTCAAAGTAGTAGTGTACAAGTTCAATGCAGCTCTGTTACTTTTTCGGACATGCAGTGACACATATTTAGCATTAAAACACTCTACCATTGCTCGAGATGCCTGATCCATTAATTTCTGGGCTAATCCCAATCTTCTATGGGAACGTTTCACAGCTAGCGATGTTATATGGCCATGAGGATTATCTTCACTATCTTCTTCCATTTTTGCCAGAACGTAACCAACAATTTGACCCTTTTCATCCTCTGCCACATAACTAAGCTGAGGCCATGACAAACCATGATAAAAATAATATTTCATTTGATAATTTTCAGGCAAGCAAAGCAAATTGCAATGCTGCATGTTCATCAGATCATCAGGCTTTGCACATCTGATATTCATGGTGTCTGCGCAAGTTTTTAAATTACAGAATATAACTCTTTTGTAACAAGTAAATAAAATATTTTCCCCAACAGTAAAACAGTCCTCTGTTAAAAATATTGGACAATAACACCCACACAAGAGTGAAAGGAATGTTTATAAAATCAGAAATAAAGCGCACTTTTTCAGTCACGGCGAGTCTTCTTCATGCGTGAACGACCATTCTTCAAATCATTCACAGAAGCGGATTCTGACATAGCTCCAAGCAGCTCTCTCACAAACCTAAATCTAGAAAGAAACAGCTTCCATACAAGGTACCACCCTGCAACAAAGAAAATAGGTCTTACTATTTGCTAATGACAAAGCTACGATAGGTGCCTCAATGCGTGAGCGTAAAGATTTCAATGGCACATTCTCACCTAAAAACACTAGACCCAAGACTAACAACACCGATGTTATTATGGAAATTACAGCCAGGAGCAATTCCATCATACTTGATGCACTACCAGTTACATACAAACTAAGGCACTCAAAATTGAGTACATATGCAAAAATTCATTACAAAAATTGTTTAAGCTACATGCATCCACAACGTACTTAAAAAATTGCCATTCATCGAATTCGTTGTCATGCTAACTTCGCCATTTTGCACTTATGAGTAGGCCACAACATGAGCAAATTATTTATATTAAATACATCGATATAGTACCTTCGATAAGATAGTGTTTTTCGATACGATATTATCAGATCAGTTCAAGTGATTATGGTTTTCAGGGCACAAATTCACTGATATCGGAACGAACCTTATTCTCCGTCGGCACACACAGCACGAGAGCATGAGCTCTCACACGAGGTGAAACAATTCCGAATCGCAGAGAAAGCTGCACGTTGTCCGTCTAGGAATAAACAGCACAACGCGGATCGCTCGAACTGCACTAAACCGTTTAGGCTTGTTTTAGCTAGTAGTTTTGAAGGTACAATAAAGTAGGTCAGAGCTTTTTCAAGATTTTTAATATCTATTTTCATGGAACAGGTTTTAACAATGTTATGTGCACTAACTTAAATGTTTTATGCCAAAATAAACTTGATAACTATTCTTATTTTTCATGCACCTCATTCAACATTTTACTTTTGATACAGAAGTAATAAAAACTGTAAACACATCCCTGTTTACACTTCTGTTGCAATGCTTACTACACCCTTTGTTTTAAAAAATATATATTTTTCTTAGTGCACCTCTACATATTCACATCGGGTAAAATCTGCTAAAGCTACATCAATATTTCAAACTTTTTAGTAATACTTGTACCAAGAACTAATCATAACATTCAACAAAGTATTGACCAAATACAGTCTGAAAATACTTGTACATTATAAATCACAATTTGAAATGAAATTTTGTAGAAAGTAACAGGTTCAGTTAATATACAAGATAGTTGTAAATGGATTTCCATTACAAAACTCCCAAAAGTCTTCAGAAATGCATTTCACTTTGCATCCCTGAAGGGCTATCAAATTCTACATGCACGAAAAGAAATTGTAGGGTATTTACAGGTGATAAAATACTGAAGTTTTCCTACCATGTACATTCAGAAGATAATGATCAATACATTATACAAGAATAACCCCATTAGCATTAGTACTTAACTTCTTGTTTTGTAAATAATTTAGAAAACCAATTGGATATAATGGGCAAATTGGAATATTACTTTAGCACCTCTATTGCTGAATCAGAAATACACAAGACAATTTCAACTGCCCATCACAAATAAAAATCAGTTTCAATTTGTACATCTACATTAAAATTATGCTTTAAAATGATACATGCAATGAACTTTGGCACCATTAGTCATGTTCTCATGCACAATTCAATTTCCAAACCTTTTAACTTGAGATGTTTGTACTATGATTTCTTGATAAGCTCTTTGTAGTTTTAGAAATGACAAAAAGCAGCTACAAAAAGCCCCAGAAGGCTACAGTATTAATGAATAAGTACCTTTACACTAAGATTTAATAGATTACTCAGCAAATCGTTGACTTGCAACCCGCAGATTCTCAAGAGAAGAATTCCTACAAACTCCCTATGCTATACCAATATCACAGCATGTATAAATAACTTTTAATAACATGACTTCTAAAACATTCTTATATTGATGTACTAAACGACAAAGACGTCTAATTATAACCAAAACAGGTGTAACAATGACCTTTAAAAAACATGTACAAGAATATGAGACAAAAAAGTACAGACACTAATACAGGTACACAATATTCCACTACAGGGGGGGGGGGGGGGGGAGAGAAAAGTAGAGAAGAATCAGCTCAAAATAAGGGTAGGAAAGTCTTCTGGCTTTTCTTGCATCATTCATAAAATAAAATACATGAAATTTAATTTACAACAAAAATCCTCTATTCTGTTAGGAAAATTATTTCTATATAAAATCAGTATCTTAAGGTCGGAAAGTAAAATTTACGAGTAACAGATATTCAGGTTTTATGAAATAATACAATTTCAAGTTAAAATGCATTTTAATGTGTGTCTTTGATTATGCAAGAAAATTGGCAAAGAAACTTATTAAATTTCATGAAACTGTACATTACCAAAGAAAAATGAATCATATGATACATTTCCTATCAGAGTGAATGTACAATGATTATTATTGAACTGGTATATATCAATGACTCATTACAATATTTAACAGAGCTTCATATTCCAAAAGTCTTTGGAAAGCCCTCAACACACTTACTGTGTAGCAAATTATTTACACCTTTTTTTAAATTTGGGATTACATGAATTCTGTTAGTTTGGTATTCAAACACCAAACACATTGACTATTGTACATAATGTCATTTTGACATTTAAAACTGCACTTAATTAAGAAAAATATATGTACTTTAAATGATCACTAATTATGTAATATTCTTATATCTATTTATAAAATATGAAACTTACACTAATCATATCTTAAAGAAATAAATAATTGAAGTTCTTTACATAACTTTCTTTATGCAGTATCAATTAAGCAACTACCCCTTTTCAACAACTATACACTTTGTTTCTTCATTCCATCTTGCTCTTTTCAGCAAGCTGTTTTACCTTTGATGCTTATTGTACTCAACAAAGAAAATAGTTACTATTTGAATAATTTGAAGATAACTTACACTAGCCAATTATGTTCAATGTGTGTTATTAAAAAAACAAAAACAAAATTTATACTCCCAACTTACTTGAACACAATATTGATATGTGAAATCAAAAAGTAAAAATCTGATGCCCTTTCACAAACATTGAACATTGATTACTTGAGAAATGCACAAGTTCTTTGAAAACTTTGTAGTAGAAACATTTAAAAACCATTTCAATAATTTAAAGAAATATGCTATAAAATAGCTTTAGAAATTCCAAAACCAGTTTATTGCCATTCTTTCTGAAGGAATTCTCAAAAAGAATTTGTTTAAATTTTAAAATTGACCATGGATAAACCTCTTCTTTATCTAAGTAGACTGTGAACTCCAAATGTTGAAATTACAAGTAACTCTTGATGTGAGAAACACTTAATTTGATAAGAAAAGCATTTAATGAAAAGGAAATTTTATAGTAGAAAATGATATCACTGAATTATCATTATGAATTTTTCATTACACAATTCTATGAAAAAGAGTGAGAAATATTAAAAGAGGCAATTCAAAACCATGTACTTCATGAACCTTTCAAACTAAATAAAACAATCTACGTGCAAGTACAATTACAGATTTACAGAATGTTCATAAAAATTATTATTTACAAATACTGTCACTCATGGAATCAATGTATAACACAAATCAAATTAGCTGAATATTCATTTTGTGAATGCCAGTGCAAAATGACTGAACATTAATTTAAATGAATTGATAAAATATTTTTGCATTTAATGTGATTGTCGTTTTCGCAGAATTGTTAGCTTTGAATAGGCAAACTGATTAATGCCAATGATAAAACAGATTAACATATTACACACTTTTTGTACAATAATTAAAACAGGTAAAGACACAAAGCCGAGAAACAAATGTACATAATGAAGTTTCGACAGGTGTTGCTTTAAAGCATGCCTTTAAAAATATTACCACACAAGAAGTTCAAGCATCAAGTTGTACATATATTAAATGTTAAATAAGGAATGCACACTGACTGACTTGTGTTGTTTTATCAAATTATTCACCATTATTTATACACGTGTTACATCATGAATGATGCAAAACACTCCTCTAGAAACAAAGAACTACACTGTCTATCCCAATCATTTCAGCCTATTTTTCGTACAAAATACCATCACTTAATATCCGGCTGGATGTTTTACAATTTCAAGCCTCAACTCGCTGCTTCTGCAGTCCTACATCTTCATCATCCAAGAACTTCTTGAAACTTGCTTGACATTCAGCACTAATCCAATGCTGAACAAGGAGATGGGTTTCAGATTCAAGAGCAGCATCTAGCTTAGTACGCAAACTGTGCCTCAGCAATGCTTTGGTGGCTTCCATGGACTGCAAAATAAAATAAAAAATAAGGCACATGAATCATAAAATTGAAATAATTCAATAATGTTTCTTTTACGCCACACCTCTTTGATTAAATAAAAATATTCTCAACGACTTAAATGATTTTACCATAAACTATCGATGGAGGACAAATGGAACCTTTAAGTCTTTGCAGAACTACTCTGAACTGTAATTGATTAGTTCAATCATAATAGTTCATCATCATCATCATCATCATCATCATCATCATCATCTTCATCATCATCATCATCATAAGTGTCCTATACAAGTGCCTGACATTTTGAAAGATGTGAAGTCTCCAGGTCATCAAAGTAGGTGGTTGAATACTTATTTAAAACACTTAGAGGGCAGGTCAAAATTAAAATTGGTTCCCCATTAGTTCTCATTTTGGAAATAGATTTTTTCAGAAATCCACAATACATTAAGGTGTGACACCTAATGCACTGGAGCTGGTACAGCAGGTGGGTGAGGCAGAGTAGGAAGAGTGGAGCCTGAAGGGTAAACAGAGCAGCTTCAGCAGTCCAATGGGAAGTGAGAATAGCAGGGGCCAGTCAGGAAGACTGCTCAAGAGGTCAGAGGGATAGTGGAGTCGGGCAGGAAAACTGGCAACTGGGTTGGGATTTTAAATGAAATTACTTTAATTTTTCAGTATAGACAGACTTCATTCATTTTCCTGTTTAATTAATGATTTTGAAAAATAAATACCTGGGCAATGGCAGGTTTCTTCATCTACTTTTAATTGTTATGTATTGTTTAGTTTTATTTCTTAATAGAATATTCACCTTCAAAAGCCCTTTCCAGCAAGTTAACAATTATTTAATAATAATTAAATATTAAACAATTATTTGATGATAATTTATATTTAATTGATACTTGAAAAGTTAAAACATCTAATAAAATGACAGTTTTTCTGTTCTCTAATTACCTGCTCAATCTTAACTTTCTAATATATTGATAAGCAGTGTGGAAAAAGTTTTATACCAAATGAAAAAGAAACATTATATATTTAAATAATAATTTCATTATTAAAGAATTCTCCCCATAAATGATACTAAATGAACAGATGTAGATCTATCCTATGGAACTGGGAATTGCAACTAGAGATGGAATAACTATGTCAGAATAATTGATTTAAAACAATTTATGTATGTTTTTTAAAATTTAATAGAACATTCAAAATTACGACAAGACTTCATGTGAATTTTAATAAGTTCAATTTTAATTTCAAGAAACGGAAGTTCTAAGTTTTGAGATTGTGAATATTTTCTCTTTAAATTTTGACATGTTCTCATAACAATTTCTATAAATAGAGAAAAGCATTTTCAATTCAGTGCAATAAGTTTTCAGACAAGTTTTACAATTGATGAAATGAAGCTCTCTAACAACAACAACAACAACAACAACAATAATAATAATAATAATAATAATAATAATAATAATAAAAATGTACATCATAAAAATTAAGCTATAGTTATTTAAAGAATTCGAGGACTATACTACTGAGATTTTGTGATTTGAAGTTGGTGCCCTTGGTTAGTCAAAACACTGCTAGCAGTTAAAAATAGCACAAGGTCAGTGACTGGAAAACTACACATTTGCATAGCATGTCACGTTTACTGTTTGTTACTTCTTATATATTATTTATTTCATTTCAATGTGCAACATCAAAATTTGATCATGTACACAAATCTTTAGAAGACTTGGATATAACTTATCCCAAAAATGTGAGTGTGGCTAGCTTCATGTGATGTTCAGTTATTAAGTATTTATCTTGTAAAGGATTTGAAAGTATATTCATATTTTAACTACTGTACATATTACACAGCTCAGTTGGACATTTATTAAATATACTAAAATAAATATATGAACAGAAAATTTGCAATAAGTTACAGAACTACAAAATACATCACTCGGACCAAGTTCAACCTTATTCTTTAAAAACGCTCCTCAAGAAATTCAAATTAACAAGTTACAAATTTAATGCAAATAAAACTTAATACGAGAAAATTCACTTGGGACATGATGATGGGAATGCATTGTCAACAATAATAATTGTAATAATAATCAAAAAATTAAAACTGGCATAGGCTTTAAGAACAAATTGGTATATAAACTAGAAAATCTTTCTTTCAGGTTTACAATGAGAGAGGATTGCGAGAATGTCAACTAAATGCAGCTTGCAGTATTCTACATCGACGTTTCTGGTTTAAGTTACGAGTGGAACGTATATGTCAATGCTCTGCATTTCAGGAATGCCCAACACGTTGGAGTTATGATGGATTAGATAATTTTACTATGATGATAAACAATCGTGCACAAATGAAGGTACTTGTAATAAAAAAACAATAACACATAGCAGATTTCGTAAGATATTTACAACATAAAAAAGGATAGTATACAGGTTTTAAATATTTTGTTTGATTGATTAATGTGTCAACTGCTGTGGTTGTAAGTTTCACTATGCGTTCTCTATGGTATATGCTGGGATGTGAAGGTGTTTTTCCACTGCTGAAATGTAAAATACAGTACTGTACATCACGTTGGCTTGCAGAATCTCTCTCCCCATCACCTATAATCCAGGACAAGCCTACTTGACTTGTCTTCTGACAGCGGTACCGTAGTAACAGTAAATGTGAAAAGGAGGAGGTGGAAGATGAAGAAGGGAATATCACATGTGGTCTGTTGCCCATTTGTTAGAGTACTGTTTCCACATTTGTCGGGTGCTGATCGGAGAAACCACTGATAACTACAGCGATCATAGGCTTCCACAGCCAGAGTCAATACATTCTTGGCTATACGGAATGAGCCGCGTCTCGGTCAATTGTGCTGACATTACGGCCATCTTGCTGTGGCCTTCTTCAGAGCCAATGGCCAAAACGTCAGCACAATTGACCAAGACGTGGCTCATCCCGGGTAGCCAAGAATATACAGATAACTACTGATTAGAGCAGCTGGCCTCTAGAATCCTCCTTCAGACAGTGTCCGAATTCAACTTAGATATAGCTGGTGCTGAAAAATCCACCACTTCTGGACTCGAGACCTACGAACTCTCAGTTACAGAAACTGCAGAGGCAAAATTATTATCCTAGAATAACACAGCTTGTAAATCTTATTCGAAGAATCCATTCCATTATAAGGGCAAATCGTCATTGCGCTTATAATGGATACAGCCATCTGAAGTGCATTTAGAAAGAGAAAATGAACATTAAAGGACAATCATATCATTAAAAGTTTGTAAATTCAGGCATTCCTTCAGGTTCATTTTCCCTTACTAAATTCTTTTCACATGGCAGTTTTTGCACACTCAACAACAAAATACTCTGTAACTTAAAAATAAATTGGTATTTGTTAACAGTTCTGTCATCCTGTCAATGAACTCCCAGAGTGTGAACCATCAGAAGAAGCACTGATCATCACCTCAAATACAACAGTGAATCCTGATAAATACAACAAAAGTCAAAGTGTAGAAGTGACTCACCAACAGGCAACTACTAATTGCAAATGTCAATTTCCACACTACTGGAGACTACACAATGTCACACAAGTGAATAAAAATATTTCAATCAGTATCTACATGTGTGATGAGGTAAAACTGAAGATTCGAATAATTGTGTTTGATACCTACTAAGTAATTATGAAGTAGCTTCATTGCATTTAATAATAAGATGATTTTGGGATTAACTTGATTACATTTATGTGTTGATTTACTTTTGTATGCACACGCATGGAAGCAATGTATACATGTCATTGAATTTATTTTCAGTACAAGAAATGCAGAGCTAACGAATTCTGTGGTCACATCCGAGCAGATTATTTTTCAACTTATTACCGGTGTTCTTGCCCTATTGGATATCTTTGTCTCTTTGAAGATTTAGAGAACAGAAAGTTATTAAATGCAACAGAAGTACTATTTGAAGGACTGGCTTACCGAGGAGCATGTAAATTTAACAGAGCAAAACCAATGTTAGAAAGAACTTCACAAACTTAAATATAATCAATAATGAATCTCTCAGTAATTGTGCTACAAAATATTTGAATACAACACAGGCACAAAGATAGTAGTTGGTATTTATTCAATACAGTAAGGAAAATATCTACAATTGTACATCTTTATAAAAGTTCTCAATATACAGAATGTCTGGGGAAGAAATGTTGAAAAATTCCGATTGGCAAAGCCAGAGTAAGCACTCAAAAGTTGGTTTGAAAAAATGTTTTCTAGGCAAAAATTTGAATTGCAGATGTGTAGAAACACTCCAGAAAGATATAAAGTGTTTATTATTTACAAAAGAAATGTATTATTTGTGAAGTTGTGAAGTTTCCTCCCTGGACACCCTGTATTTGTGACTATATTATAATCTCCATTAATGACATGATTTGTTCGATATTATGGAAAACATTTGTAAAAGCATGAAAGAAAAAAAAGAGAGAAAACATTCATTTGTGAATGGTCATTAATGGTCAAAAAACAAGAATGAAAAGTTTGCTGGATAATACAGACTGTCCATTTCTCTGACAAAATAGAGCAACCAAGATTTTTTAAGCAGGGTAGGTGACTGTTGGTTGTGTTATAGTAGTTGTGTCCAAGTAACTTTATATTTTATCCTAAAAACTGTCTCATTATGATCAATTTAAAAGTAATTGTAATCTGTTAATGTAGAATTATTTATAATGTAAGTGAGTGTGAATCTGAATGATATTCATTACTATTCAAAATAATGTTCGTATTAAGAGAAAGACTTTCTTTTATTTTAATATCTCAGTCAATTACTGAGTATTGTAATACTTAATTCATATTATAATAAGAGTAATAATATTAATCATAATAATAAGAGTGAATAATAAAACAATCATTTATTTGAAAATTTTATTCAGAAAGATGAAGTGATGCGTCAGTAATTGGCAATGTCAACGAAATGGGCCCCTCCTGTAGTTTTCAAGAAACTACATAAGAAATAATTTGAAATAGCTACATGTACTTCCAAATCCAATTAACTCTAACACCTTTAATATAAATATTAATAACATGAGAGATATTTAAAAAAAGGAGTAATACATTTGGCTCCATCCATATAAGTGTACAGAAAAAAATTTGGGGGTATTTTCCCGAAAATTTTGAGAATGTCACAGGTTTTAGGTGAAGTACTCCCAAATTCCAACACTTCTTGTCAGGCTCTGCGATTTTCATAAGAAGTGTCAATTTTTTGACATTTACAGAAATATGTGTCACAATACTTCCTTGGGATTTACATGGAAGCTTTACCAAACCAAATAATGTTTTCTGATTTAAAAAAGGCAATATAACAGGACACATGCTTCAAACAAAAATTCAATACTTTGAAAATTTGTTATTTGTCAACTGTAGAGGAATTTTTACAGAAATATTCTCTTAAAGCATAAGTCAGGCTTAGAATACTTCTATTCTACCACTATTTGTAGTTTTATCTAAATATTAATTCCAATTATCTGGAAATATAGTTTATAACAGTAATAAATCAGAATATTTCAATATTTTGTGTTAGTAACATCATTAAATACAAGATGTTGGAAAGTTATGAAAATACTGATCTTTTACAAATCAGATGACCTCACCTGAGCTGATTGAGTAGCCATACTGCGAATAACAGGAATGAGTTCTTCTTGAAAACGATCTGGCCACAATATGCGGGTAACTAATCCAAAATGGAGTGCTTCGCTGGCTGTCAGCTTGCGGCAACCAAACAAAAGTTCACTTGTCTGGGAAAACCAAAAATATTAATATTAATAATAATAATTACACAAAAGCAAAACTCTTGGATAATTGCGTTTAAATCCCCCCAAAAATTACAATTTTTTAAATTTAATGTCAAAGGCAGTTGGAGCTTTTTTTTGGTGCAATTAACTTAAATAATTTTTCAGTTTTCAATTAATTTTTCCAGGAACTTAAAACCACTTTCAGTCCATTTTTTCAAACAAAAGAACTTACCACAGCATTCCCAAACATATGAGGGAGTGTGAGAATAGCAGCTCCTTCAGGAACTTGACCCAATTTTGCATACGGAGTGTAAAATGTAGCTTTGTCACTAGCAAAAACCATGTCAAAAAAAGGCAACATGGTTACTCCTAATCCCACAGCTGCTCCATGAACTCCAGCAACAATTGGTTTGCTGAACAGGGCTAAACTTTTCATAAACTCCCTGGAGAAAAAAGAAATTTATTTAAAATGATTGACTTAATAACCATTAATATAATAACATTACTAGAGGATTTTTTTTTGACGAGATATATATTTCATTATTAAAACAATTCTAAATCAAGGAATTTCTAGTTTTACATGTTCCAGAATACTGTGAATATTTAATGAGGCAAATCTTTACGTCACTTAAATAATTTCTTTTAGTAGCATGAAGAGAAAAAACCTTCATACTTATACATATCTAGATGAAAAAATTAATGTCGTGAAGATCAGAAGTTGTGGGGTAAAATTCTCACCGATTTATTTTATATTAAATCTAAGTCATTAAATAACATGGATATCAACAAAATCATTGGAGGTGTATTGTAATGCATTTGAGAATCATTAACCAAAGGATTTTTAATGAATTAAATAATTCAAATCAAAATATATCATTAATTTACACAAAATTATTTTAACATTTATATAGCAAATTTAGATACAATTAATATTTCAAAAATGTAAATAAGTCAAATTAATAAATCAAATATTATTGTATTATTGAGATTTTCATTATTACCAACTCTTTCAGTTATTCAATACAAAGTTTAAAAAAACTAAGAATTTTGTGTGGAGTAACAAGTTTGAATGTTCTAAGTAACAAATAATGCAATACATCATTTAAAAATGCATTCGTTTAGAGATCAGTATAGATTAAATCTTAAACAAAGAATTAATCTGAAAATCACATCACCTAGTAGCAGAAAGTGCCCTTACTATCAATACCAACGTTAAAGTGTGCCAGAAAACAGACATCATAAAAAATTTTGGGACTGCACAATTTTAATTTGCATGATAGTTCCTGACATTACAATTTCAAAAAGAAATTAATTGCAAAATACTTATAAAGCACATAGAGAAAACAAATAAATATATAGTGAACAATTAATAACTTATAATGCCAAAAAGTAGAGGAATGAAACATCAAAATAGGTATTGATACATTTTATCAGTTAATAAGAGAAAGAGGATAATAACCCCTGATCCCTCCTTTACACAAGTACCTAAAATTCAGAACCTAGGTTGCTTGCCATGCGATAGACAATTAGGTCAGGAATTAATGTAACTGGCTGCTGTCAAAATCCTGTTCAGTCAATAAAATGGAACGAAGTGGTTTTCAAATATATATATATACATATATATATACATATATATATATATATATATACATATATACATATACATACATATATACATATACATACATATATATACATACATACATATATATACATACATATATATACATATATATATACACATATATATATACACATATATATATACACATATATATATACAT